AGACAAGTCCAGCAGCCAGAGTCCAGCAGCAGTACAGGAGCACCAGCCCCTGAGCACTCTCTGTCTACAGAGCTGTGCCTTCTGCCAGAAAGGGAAATGAGCAGGCTTTGACACCTGAGCATTAGGATGCCTCTTTGAACCTCTCACCTTGAAGAGCCTGGTATAAGAGCAGATCTGTAAGTCCTTCTGAGTGTTTGTTGATGCTCCACACCAAGGCCTGGTGCTCCCTGTACTCTTGATGGCAGTAGTGGCAGGTGGAAAATTAGGGCCTACATATTCAGAAAGGATGTAAGTTTTGTACTGCCTGTCCCTGAATCTGTCCAGAAGTATTATCTGGATGTGTTAGGGAAAATCTACTTCCCTTATGCCTGCACTCAGACCGCAAAGCTAGAGCTGTAGATGCCAAATATATTTTGTAAATAGTGATCTTTTGAGGGGCAAAAATTGGTCCAAGATCTAGTATTAAGTGGCATTCACTTCAGAAAAAAGGAAGTTTTAACTAACTCTACCCCAAACAGCAAGGTTCTGAAAAACCAGAAGTTTTTGCTGGAGAAAGATTACCTCTAAACTTTCCCTTCAGAGCCCTTTCCAAAACCACAGATGCAAAGTAATGCCAAACAAGCAATGATACTGAAGTCACCTGTATGAAAATACCACCTTGCCCTGAGATCAACTTCTGATCTGGTTTAGTACAGGTATGGGACCAAATGATGAATTCTAACACATGTGCCCCATTGTCTAAGTATGTCCCCCATCCAACTGTATGCAAGCGACTTAAGGTCAGAGGAGAAAAAATATTAAGTTTAGTTTTCATTCTTTTTTGTCAGAGACTGCAAATTCTTTGGGTCAGGAATGACTTGTTCTGCACTGCGTGGGTAGTACCTTGCTGTAGGAAGGTAGATCAATCTCAATCTCTTAGTCTCTCTATACTTGTCTCTAGCACAAGTAATCATTAATATTACTTCAATATAAAAATGACATCTTTTTGAATTACTTAGCTTTTCAGAAACAGGCAGGAACACCACTAGTTTATGTTTTGCTATGTTTGAAAGCATGCAATTAGACACGGATCTTACAAACATAAACAAACACTCCCATCCAACCTCCATGTTTCTAAAAATCCCCAGGTTTGTTTAGACAAGGGGTTGATAATCCAGTTTGAACACAGGTATCTGAATGCTGTGACAGCTTCTTCATAATGCTCAGCTTATGGTACATTAAACTTTAAAGCAAGATAAACTCCTGCTTTCATTTTATCAAACATCTACCCAGACAGCAAAAAGAAAAACACAAAGCAATGATTGCAGCTACAGCCAAGCATGGGATATCCAACTCAGCATATGTTTGAAATGAAAATGAACAATATGTTGCATAGATAAACTACTGTATTTTTCAATAGAGAATATCACTGGGATTTGTAGAAGTTAACCTCATTCTTCCCTTAAGAGTTTGGTTTTATGTCATGCCTAAAAAAACCCCCTGAGATTCACAGAGATTAGGCAAATACAGACAGCAGTCATTGCAACTGAGAAAGAAAGAGCTCTTAAAAGAAACTCTGATAATCAGTTTGGGTGGAAGAAATCACAGGGGAGGACACAGACAAGACATTTTTTAAGACTACTAAGTGTTGTGTCACTGGTATTACCGAACTTTGGTAGTCAGCCATATTATGCCTTTTTGTGGTAAATAAAGCAGTAACCTGTCCATCACAGTAATAATGACATAACAACAGACATCCAAGAATACATTATAAGAAGTCTGCAAGAAGAGATTTTTACCTTCAGAGAACAAGTAGCAAGAATGGGGAGAGTAGCAGATGACTAAATCCTTCAGGAATGGGGGATAGCAAAGAGGCTTCAGCAGCCTCCCAGTTTAACAGATTACCAAAAAAACAACTTCCCATTCAAATCCAAATAGACTATGTACCTGAAAAGCTTCATAGCTTTCTACTCCCAGCATTAAATCAACCACCTTACAAAGCCTCTCCGTAGAGCTGACTTAAGGTCATGTAGAACACAAGCACTGAGAGGTTATAGTTGCTTCCACTGATTTAAAATTGACACATTACACTACAAGTACCACCTTTATATTACACTGATGAAAGCGCATGAGAAACCAAAGATGTGCTATTACATGATTTGTTATAAAAAGTTATTGATGATCTTCATAATACTATAAATAACAGACAAAAAATTATCCAGTCATCCAAGTTTCTTCCTAAGACTTGCTTCTTCCCTATACGTTTATTTTATGCAGCTACAGCCTCTCCTCCCTTTCCCCATCAACCCTTTCTCTCTTTCTCTTTCATATGACCTCACCATACCCAAAATTGTGAAGAGATTGGTCTTATCGCAGTTTAGCAAGATACCACCTGCCAGCTGAACTGTGATAAATCCCAGCTGGCCTTACAACACACAGACTAACAGGGACTGGGGCTGAAACGATGGACAGCAGCTCAAGGCCATCATTTAAACCACTGAGTACCCCCATCCACAAAAATCCTGCTAAGGAAAGAGCTCAATAACACGAATGCTGCCATCACCACGTTCCTATTCTAGTGTGCACTAGATCTTTTGACTCCCTCCTCTACCTCCAACTGCCTTCTTTTGAGCCTTACTAAGCCTTTTACAGCCAACAAGGTGGACAAAATGCCTGTTCTTTGTACTCACACTAGAGTTGACACAGCGTGACCCCAATCAATCATACTCTAATACCATAACAAAATTTACAACAGCAAATATTCATTCCTCCCTTTCCCCAGGACTGCCCTTCTGAAAAGACAATCCTGGCAGAAAAAGCTAAGAAAATAATAATTCAGTAGTTATTAAAAAAATAGGATGAAGCTTATAAAGAAAACCTCAAAGGAACCTTAAGAGATATTACTTTATTATTACTCCTGCCATACACAACACTCATGTTTTCTAACTCCTAGAAGAGCCAGATAATCAGGTATGCAACATGATTGTAATAAAAACATTCTCTAGAATCAGAGACCTGTATTTCTATTAGCAACCATTTTACTCACTGTTTAAATAATTCCTTGAACTCAAGGTTTCAGGCATGAATAAAGGAAGATGTGAACACGCATTGAGTTTTACTGATTTGTTTAAACACACAGGCAATATAAAAAACTTTAACAAAATAGACTCAAATTATAAAGTTGACAAGTCTGAGCAACTACCACACTTCCAGTTGTGCTTCAAGACTTTAACCTTACAGGCTCAGGCACTGCACTTTACTGAGATAAATAGATGTGAACAGCTCAGCCACCAGGCAAACCTACCAACAGCACATAGCTTATTTCATTGCAAATTTAAAAATCACCAGCTTCCCATTGGAAGAGTGATCTATAAGCACCTGTACTTAATAAGCTACTTAAAAATAATCTTGAATCTGTAGATCAAAAAGATTGGTTAGTAGTAATCATTGGCAATTACAAGTATAAAACACTTGTTTCATATAAAACTTCTGCTTCCTTTTCTTGAAGGTTTCACAGATCTCACCTTCAGGAAAGCACACACTGAATGGGGTGTCTCAGTGTTAGACAATTTCCCACCTCACTGCTAAGTTGAACTTCTTGAAATGTTTATGGTAGGCACTCAATTCAGCAGTAACTGACCATAACCACAAGTCTGGTTTAACTCTGCAATTAGAGTTAGGTTTGTTAATGGCAAGACCAAATGTGCACTAAACCACCATGTCTTAACTTCAAGGGGAGGAACAGCCTTTCCCAGACTGAACCAGAAAATGAGGTCCTGGGCAAGCACACACCAGACAGTACCTAACATTTACAAGGAGCAGTTCCAGGTCATTGGAACTATTTGAAATGAACCACAGGTGGCCAGATCTCACCAGCTGATCTGCTGCTTTTTTGAATGGTGGATGTGCCTCTGTCCTCCCTCTCTCCCCCTAAAGCTCCCAGAGATGCACAGGTCTACATCAAACAGCACGGTCTTACTTAATGATCTAGAGTTACCGTTCTTTTTCCCCAATAAAATTCAGAGGAAGTAGGACTTGGATTTTTGTGATGATTTGGGCAGATCTTGTTAAGAAAGCAGACTCAGCCACCTATTTTATACAGCAACACACATCAAATATAGGTTTGACTCTTTGGTTTCTCTAGATCCTTCCTGGACACAGAAGGAAGTTGAACAAAGCTCAACAGGGTGAAAGAATGACAATATATATGCAAAGCAATCTGTCATTTACATTGCTACAACAATTGTGCTAAACTCATGGTGCCATCCCTATTCTCTTCTAGATTAGTTTTGGATTTTTGCTGGATGTTTTTTTCTGCAACAGCCCCTTAAACCTTTTCTTGTACACTCATGTAATTCAGAAAAAAACATTCTTTTACTGGAAGGCAGGATTTTAAGAGATATGCAAGAAAAAAGTAAGAAAAACCACTCCCAGTTCAGCTAATTTAATTTCTGAAATAAATTGTCAGGACAGGGGGGAGGGTTTTCTTTTATTTCAGCACAGCTCACTGCAGTGCCTACTGTGCTAACCATTAGGGCTGCTGTTATTCTGATTTGTGTCCACTAGTCAGTGTGGAAAGAACAAGAGAGGAAATTCAAGCAGCAGTTAAAATGTCTGTACACTTAAGCCAAAGAATAAGTGTGCAGCACAATAGAGAGAAGAGGTCCAGCAAGTACTTGGTTTCTTTCTGACCAGGACCAATGTTCCTGCTGCCCAAAGAAATTAATAAGAAACCAACAAATCAGTTCTTAACTTAGAAAACAACTTTTGTTAGCAGTTGGTAAAGCACTTACAAGACAATATTGCAAGGAAAGAATTCTCTAAAAGCATCATGAGTTCTGTGAGTATTTATTGTGCTCTCTTCATCCAAACCAACTCCCCCTCCATTTCCCTCCTAAGAAATTACCTTCCAGTTTCCCCTCATGGATAAAAGACTCTACAGATGCGGGCAGTGCTTCAGCATCTGTAGTTGCATCAGGGTTTGTGTCTGATGTGCAACCCATCTCACTGCTATCACTTACCAATACAGCAGGACCAGGAAGACTGCCAGCAAAGCCAGGGTGACTGTGGTACTGCTCATTTCTAGGGAGGCAAGTGCCAGAAGATCTACAGGCTCCATTTTCCTCCTCTGCAGCTCCAGCCTTGAGTGCTGTGAGCAGGGGAAAGCCTCCGCAAGGGCTGATAAAGCCTTCCACAGCTAAATGAATGACATCTGCAACAAAACAGGAACCGAGAGAGTAAAAACATGTCAGGCACAAACTGCAAACCTTTCCTCTTCTCATCAGCTGCACACTCTGAGACAGAACTTGAAGGTTCCCTGAATGGTAGAATGTAGCAATTTCCCCCCTCCCACTGTTGTTGACTGTCATGCCAGTAAATATTTACATACCCACCGCTTGAGACATCAGTGTTGCTGAATAGGTTTTTAGACCTCAAGTATGGGAAGCTGGGGAATGTGTGGGGAAAAGAAATGGTGCAGACAGCCTGACCATATTATAGATCACAGGAGAAAAATATAAAGGCACTTCAGGGGTGCCCTGACATACAAACAGTGGTGTTCTCTAAAGTAACTAAAATAGAGCATTTTTTTAATATAAAACTTCATTAGCACTTAATTTCCAAGCTGCTCATGCCTTGTAAAGATTGAACAAAGTAAAGTTTAAATTGCCACAACTAAAAGGAGGAATTAGAGGAAAGCTGGTCTAATGTGAGTTCTAGAATGCATATAAAGAAGGAACTAATGAGCAGAAAACCCCAATTTTTTTGAGTAGTACCAGATCCATAAATCAGCATCTGCCACACTGGTGAGTCCACACAGACAGTACTCTTTGGCTGTAGCATCTCAAGTTCATGAGGGTACAGCAAATTTTCCTGGCTCAGTGCACTATCCCCCTTGGAGGTATCACTAACCACTCTCTCCAGAGATACTTTGGCTACCCCTACTTTGTATTTCTAGTATCAGATTTACACCAATATGGTCAAATTTACTCTATTGTGGTACAGTCAGGCTGCCACAGCCCCTTGAACAAGCTGCACACAATAATCAAGTTCTGACCGTAGTTCTGGAAATGGTTTGTTCACTGTATATGAACTCTTCAGCTTTATTCCATATTTTCCTACCTTCAAGGAGGCAAAACCTCAAGCCTGTTTTGAGCATCTGATCCAGTCCAATTAGAAAGGTAAAGAACACACCTTGAAGCACTTCTACGAGAAAAGTCCACCAACCTGTTGTACACTAAAGTGACCAAATTCCATAATCAAAAAAATCTTCAGGACAACAACATCAGAAGCAGCAGCTTGCAAGTAAACACCTCTGCCCATGAAAAATATTGAACTGAACTGCCCAGTATTGCTTGTTACTTATGAAATCATAAATTCTCATATATGTGCTTCAGAGTTTCCACCCATCCTAAACAACCTACTTGAAAGATAAGGAAATCAATGCTATGCAAAAACTTGGTTTGTGAATTATATGGTAACCTTGAGAACCAGAAATTCTGTAAAATCTGATTCTCATAACACACCTGATGAAGAGTGGTTTCTTTTCTTACTACCCCAAGACAATAGCTCAGATTTAATGTGCAAGGTTTCTCCAATATCACTGTATTACATTTCCTGCTTTCATCAGAGAAGTTAATAATATAGGTATCAAAAAAGTAAAGTCTCTAACACAATGGAGTTTAATTTTAAGAAGATTTGGCTCTGCTCTAAGTGAATCACTGCTATTTTGGTTCTCTGTGCTTCACAACTGCATTAATTCCTTTCCAGCCTCAGATCCTTACAGAATAAGTAAAAGGTGTTAACCAGCTCATCAGCTCCACAGAATAGCAACGTGGTTCACAGAAAACCTTTCTTCATGTAATAACAACTCCACTGCTATTCTAGGTCAGTAACAGCTCTGCTGGACTGCTGCTGCTGGCAAGTTCTCCAAAAACAACTGCAACAAGATTCAAGACTAGTGACACAAGGAATTAATCAGTGGGCACATGCTAATCCCAACTAGCAACCAATCCTGTGGGAACTTTCAAAAAGAGAAAAAAAATTCAAACATTGATATGAATCAGTCTTTTCTAAAAACTAAAGCAGCCACCACAAAGGTAGAAGACAAAAAAATATTCCAATTCCACTTTTATTTATTTGTCTTTTTAATAAAAGACATTTTTCTGCACATAGAGGACAAATGTTCTCCTATTAAATTCTACTGCACAACTCCTATCAGCACACATAGATCAAGTAGAGACCTCACTTGTTTTTAAAGAAGCACTGGAGTCTTTTCCCAGTCACACAGAGAGACAGGAGATATGAATAGTTCATAAACAAATACTTAAGAAAGAAAATAGGGTCTCACATCAGAATCCAGTTTGGAAGAGAACACACAATTAAGTTTTTTTTTCCTTTTAATCCTTTTTTGCTGTTGATTGTGGGGTTTTTTTGTTTTACTTTTTACACTTCATCACCTGTTTCTTGCTGAAGGATTTTAACTTGGCACCTCCAACCATTAGGAAGGGTGGCAAGCATTGATTCTAAAACCTACCTGGAGCACTTCTCATCACAGACAGAGGCACTTACAGTTATCATCCTGGAGTTAGGGACCTCAGCTCTGTGAAGAGTCACATAAATCCACATGATACTTGTGGGGGGAGAAGGAGTCAGGGATGCAGAGATCCATGAAAACAAGCTATTTATCAATCCTGAGAACTCTCTTTACAAGTTTTTTACGTGAGAAATATCATCCTAATTAACACTTAATAACACAGATATTTTTCACCAACCTCCAGGTTCCTTTTGTGGAGTCACGCTGGCCAGCATGGTAACAGTAAGAACTAGGGAGACAGATAAAAAAGTCCTCCCTAACCACACGCTGGAGGAAGCCAGAGGCAAGCAGAAGAGAGCCTTTTCCTGTCAGACTGCTGTGAGTCAGCAGCAGCGCCTGCATTTGCATCCACAAGGCTTCCCTCAAGATTGCATCTACCAAGGTTTGCAGCTCCTTGACACGGTGCCATCCACGGTCCTCTCTTCCGTAGCAATTAAAATCCACAGATCACCACCTTGTTGATCACAAGCAGATGTTGACTAAAACCTACACTGAAGAGACCCATCTCATCCTTCATTCCCCACCACTGCCTGGGAGCTCCCCGGGAAATGGCAGAAGGAGTTCAGTGCTGAGCAGCCAGAGCTGCAGCCCGCACACACACACTCACAGCAGTAGCTATTAAACAGGGAAATACACAACAGCATCCAGTCTGAGAGGCTGAATTGTTCCTCAACTGAAAAAGGACAAAAAGCTGGCACCCAGACAATCCAGGTTTTACAGGAAGCCTTTGTGCCTTAGAGCCCTGTCTGAGTCCAGTAATATTTTCTGTAAATACTCTTCCAAAACAATGCATTTCAACTTCCAAAGGAATACAACCGTGGCTGTGAGCCTCAGCAATGCTTGACATAAACAAGTATTGTTCCAACATGGAATACAGAGTTTATTAAAAAGCAGGATTATAGACCTTCCCAGTAAACCTAAATCACGTTAAGGATTTTGACTGTCTTCAAAGCATATCAAATGGAAAGAGTAGTCTCATATTTCAGAAGCAACTGACTACACCAGCTACACCAACCACACACTCCTGCTAATGACCAAATTCAATTCCTCCTGTGCTATTCTACCTCATATATTTTAGGTCTATAATAATCTAATTAAGGCTAAGCCACACCAACTTTATGATAGATGAAGGAAGTCCAGGAAGATGTTACATTTTCATTTTATAGCAGTTTGTGTCTATAGAAATTTATAGAACAGTCTTTAGATCAACAAAGTTCTGCTACAGACAGCTTAGCCACAAAATACCGCAGACAAAATACCACAGAACAGCTTAAAAAAGAGATTAATCAGGCACTAGTTTATGTACAAGCTTTAACAAAGCCCATGTAACAAAATGCAGAAGTATATATGATGACAATTTATTTTGAAGAAAAAACCTTTCCAGAGCCAAAATGAATTTTCAATTCTCTTGAAGGTAGACCAATGGAAAAAAACCCAACAAATTCCAGAGGCACATTTCACAGAGATTTTCTTTTTTTTATTTTTATTTTTTATTTTATTGTAAACAACCTTAATATTCAAGGTACTGGGAATAATAATATATTGAAATAGAGGGATTTACAGTGGCCATCTGTGACTTAATTATTGCTATCCCTGTTCAAGGATTGATTAAGCAGTTTAATCAGATGATTCTGTACTCCTGCATGATAAACTATGATAAACTACCCAACAGACAGACCACCAAGGCATCAGAGCCTACTAATAAAGATCCTGCTCTACATTTAAAACAGACAAGAGCACCAAAAGGACACCATGAGCTCATGGGAGATTCTTGAGTCACCTTGAATAAAATCACTCCATTAAAGTGGATCTCAAAAGGCAAACACAGTAACTGTAAAACCACACTGAGGAGGACACCTTCATGGCACTTCCAGCTGAGAAGCAGAAAGACACACACTTAAATTGTTTTGCCAAGTCAGAACCTGGTTACATTAACCTAAATGCTTCTCAGGAAACAGGCATACAGTTTAAAATTCTAGGAAAGCTAAAATACTATGCAAGCTTGTGCTTCACTAACAAATTTAATCTTAGCTGCCTAAAAGTTATGGTACTTCAAACACAGTGAGTATCTTAGAGTCTAAAAAACTCATTATGCTAACTATATGTAGTGCCACTGTACTAAGTCCCCTCTGAAGCAACAAGCTGTGAGATATCCTAGTTATTTCAAAGAACTCCTCTTAGAAATAGCACAGATTTTGTGGTCAAAAGGAATGACAGTTTCTTCCTCTTGCTGTGAGAGTTCAGAATGAGTTTCTAAAATAAAGTTACCTTTGCTAATAGTGACATTAAGATCTTGCAGCCCTTGTGAAATTTCAGAGAAAGCAGAAATTAGTATAACATCTGCTGCCCGTCGCCAGGCATTTCTAAGCAAATTGACTTTATTAAATAATTGGTAACTTGTTTATATTTCTATAGCTTGCTTTAGAAACATTGATTGATTCAAGCAATCCTATAATTTCATTGTACTATAAACTTGACTGGAGATAAATAAGGATTTATGTTCACAGATCAATAGCTCCACATTCACAGCAAAAGTCAAAAAACCCCTGCCTAAACTAGTCTTGTAGTTGCAGAGAGACATACAAATGTTTGCAAAAATATTATGGTAAGAGCTGTTG